TGAACCGCTGTCCCTGTGCTTTGCTAAGCTTGTTCTAAGTAGATGCTTTAGACCACTGAGCCATCTCCCCAGCCCTGCTGTGGATTTTTAGTATCACTGAAATGAATGATCAAAATGATAATCAAAACTAATGCTCAGGGGAGTAAGTGACCTGCCCAGTACTACATAGCTAGTGTGAGATAAAACCAATTGACCTCAAAACTGCCACAACCCCCAAAGAGTTATTTGGGACTCCCTAGAAGACAGACTGTCCTCAGCTTGCACTTCCCACTCCTTGCCCAGGTGACAGCCTGTCCTACGAGATCAGGAACAGGAAGAGCGAGGAGGAAGAGGAAGCCCTGAATGAATGGGTTGAAGTAATAGAAAAAGTGCTACCTCTCTCCCTTGTCACCACCAAAGGAGGCATAGAGTCTCTCGTTTCCCTTTGTTCTGCTCTCATTGAAGAACAAAAGAAAAGGTCACAAAGTAGGTTCCTGGAGTGTGTGGGGAGGGAGAGGGTGAGGCTGGAATAAACTTGGGTCAGGGGAAGAAGGTGTGGATAAAGTCTGTCAGGGTTTTCTAACCCTTCCTTATAGCAAGTACAGCACTGCATTGTGACACACTTGTCATTCCAGCTCTCAGGAGGCTGAGGCAGGACAACCATAGAATTCAAGGCCATCCCGAAACGACATAGTGAGACCCTGTATCAAAAAAACAAAAGTACAACTGGGGAGATAGCTCAGCGGCATAAGCACCTGCCTTGCAAGTACAAGGTCCTGAGTCAGATCCCTGGTACAGAAAAAAAAAAAAAAAGAAAGAAAGTAGAGTTGGAGGCCTGAGTGAGGGCTAGGGTGTCAAACCCAAGCAGAGCCCTGAGCAGTTTTGAGCTGGCCCTCTGAGTGGAAATAGACAGGAGATGGGGACATGTGCCTGGAGCTGCTTCCTGGGGCTGGACCTTATATACTGTCTTAGTTACTTTTCTCTCCTTGCTGGGACAAAATACCCAACACCCAAAATGAAGGAAGGAAAGGTTTATTTAGCTCACAGTCAGAAGAGGTTTCAGTCTATACTCAGCTGGCTCCAAGGCAGAGTGGCACATGGCAGAGAGCAACCTTTCATGACACAGAAAACAGCAAAAATCAAAGGGAAGGAGCAGCAGTTTAGCAGCTAGCTAGCCTCTCTCCCTGCCTTACACTGTAATGCAGATTACCCACCCTAGGGCCAGAATAGCACTCACACCCATAATCCCAGCATTGGATCATGAATTAATCTCTAGGAGTCACCCCATGACTGCATGAGGCTTTGGGGGAACACCTAGATGCAAACCATAACTTGTGTATTACAGGAAAAAGGCCCAAAGGCCAGGAAGACTAGAGTATATGGCCAGAGCCCAAGGAACAACCTTTCTCACTCCAAACCTATCTGCTGTACCAGAAAGTTTGCTGAGGCTCAACCAGAGGCCCTTCTAGGATCTTCCTGATCACTGCTACTCCCAAGGTAGTCAGTCAGCAACACGGCTGAACCTTGGAATTTTACTCCTATCAACACTACAAGTGGCCTGAGATTATCTAATTCCTACATTTTGTAGATGAGAGCTTTGATGGTTAGAGAAGAGAAAGGTACCACAAGAAAGCTCGTGGCAAAGCCAGGACCCACATGTAGGGTAGTTTTACTTAAGAGACTGGATTTTGGAATCAGAGAAACAAGTTTAAATTCCATATGTTTCAATTTCTGGCTTTGTGACTTTTGGCAGATTACTTTATCTTGGGCAGGAGATATAGCTCAGTGGCATATCTGAATTTGATTCCTAGTACCCCCCCCCAAAAATGAGGTCCTGAATTTGATTCCTAGTACCCCCCC